CGCGTGGCTATCTACTCAGTAGCATATATAAGCTTCAAATACTATAACCTGATCAAAACTTTTTATTTTATGTTTATTATAGCAAAAAATTAACTTAACGTACGCATTACCTGTCTAAACATTGATTTTGATTTAACGAAGTTATGCATGCTTTTTTTTTTTGTTGTTGGTGATTTTATATCTTGATTATTGAAATATTTGGTTTGGAAGATAAAGAAATTGACAGCGAAAAACGAGAAGGAAGCTACGGATGCTCAATTAACGGAGACAAAAATGCAAGTTGAAGCAACTGATGAAGCAGAAAATGCCAAGAAGAGGCTTCATCAATCTTCTTGATGTTTTAGTAATTATTACTTTCTTATTTTAATTAATCATAATGTCTTCTTAATTTTTTGTGTTTCTTATAAAGTTAAACAAATGATGTTAAAAGAGAAAATACTACGTACGTTTGTTGACACGCGTAAAATTATTAACTACTCAACACAACGTGCTTCAACAACATTACATGTTTCCACGAGAAGAGAGTAACTTGAATTAACATTTGTTGAATAGAGGTATCTTCTCAAAGTGAAAGATATGGTTTCGGATGCGGTAGAGATGAATTGTATAGAGTAATCCTGCTAATGAAACCGTCGAGAATGAGATCATCGTCAATATCCAGAAATCCTGAAATCACAATGTCAAATTATGACCTCTATTGTTTCAAACACAACTCATGCGTTTTGTTGACGAATATGAAAAGACGAATACAAAATGTAAAGAACACAAATATACACCAAAAATGTGTTGGTTATGTTACGTGCAAAAAAAAAATTGATTTTGTTAGTGGATATAGAGATTTCTGAATATAATGGGAAGGGTTGGTGCTATCGCAAGCAACGGGCGATCAAATTGAAGGCATATTAACACGTTTTTATTTATCTTTACATGTAATAAAAATATACAAAAGAGCACGATTTAAAAAAAAAAAAAATCAAATTCTTCTGAAAAAGTTTTGCAAAGTGAAAATGCAAACGAAGATAAAAGAGAGTTGGTAACCATTGGTTACTAACCAATATTTGTTTACTTTAAGCATTTAAATTGCGGACTCATTTGAAGAAATAT